TCGACTGTGTTCCAACAGACTCAAATGTTTTTAATTTCGTAAATTCTGGTGGTACGTAATTAATATTTTAATAAAATGTGCATATTTTTTGTGATCATTTCTGTTTCTTCATTGTGAAAATCAATGACGACTCAACTAATTTCGTAATTTGATTTCCCTCAAAGACGTAATCTGTTACTTGATGAATCAAACTTTTCATTTGCACTTTTTTTCGAGGGGGGTGCTCGGGTAAACGCCCACCCCTAAAAAATCGTTATTTTCTGAGTTGAGGCCCCTGGGCGCTAACGCGGTCGAGTACGGTATAGGTGTACCTTTCACAACTTTTAATTTTTGCTTCAATATTAACAGGGTTCTGCCCAGCTTGATTTGAGTGTTGGTCGCTAATTAATATTCATGAGCTCATTAATATTCATGACCTTAATTAATATTCATTTTCCGTTCTACTTGCTACGATTTAACGACTTTAATTATTTTAACTTTTATTTATTTTAAATATTTCAATGTGAAATTAATCTGCTTAAATAAAAGTGAAAAAATATATACACTTTTTTTTTGAATTCGAGTCTTAAATACGTATTTTGAGAAATTAACCTCTGACCTGGCAGACTTTTTTTTTCAAAGCGTGTCGTCCATTTGTTACGGCAAAAGTGGCAACAAGAATTTAATTGTTTTCTTTTCCGATGGAACGCTGGTAAATCACATTAATAGTGAGAAATTATTATTCCTTGTATCGCTGACTGAATATAGCTTATGAATTTAATTTTATGAACGAGTCATGAAGCCAAAAACATCAATGACTGTTACTACACTCGAGTGCAAGTGCAGATTGTAAACAAACGACAGCTTGACGCATCATTGCTGGTGAAGTGAGCAAGTTATTGTTCAACTCGGCAAATACTACACACAACTAAACTTGCAATGGTAATCCTTCCTTCTGTTTATTTATCATTGTCTTCTCTTCCATTATCTTGATGTATGACTTATTCTGATCTGGTTCGTTTGTTAAAACTAACAGAATGTCAATCGGAGGTTAAAACAAAAACAGATTAGGCCGATGTCACACGTGTACGTTGATTTTGAACAGCGGTATCTTTCAAGTTTTGTTGTTAATTTTTTGCATTGTGTTGTGTGTTAAAACCAACAAAGACAATAGAATGATGGTCCAGTGGCAGACATCCTGTGTGTATCATAAACAAATAGAATAGTGCTGGTCGCCAACTTTTTGTTCTGGTCGGAAATTCTGAGTGCCGGTCGCTAGCGACCGGCCCCGACCAGCGTGGGCAGATCCCTGATTAATAATCTGAGCAATAGAATTTCTGATTTTTTAGTTGTGTAGGAAGTAGTCCAAAACTGGGACTTGTGTTTTGGAGTCCATCAGGGCAGCAGATTTCTCGAACCTGTTGGTACAAAAACTACATAACACACTACATATACTCACCCATTTAATGACATAATGGTGTGAATATTTCTTGTGATCAAATTCAACATACTTCTCCAATATTTAAATGCTCTGTTCATAACTAGTCATGCATATCGTTCAGACTGAGCAAGTTCCAAATGAGATTTTCCAGTGATACATTATCAAACTGTCAGAAGCATTGTCTGGCATGAAGCCAATATCCCCACCCACAAACTGTGTACAATGTATCACTTAAAGCGGCACCTTCCAGTTAAGATTAATTTTACAACAAATTTACTTTCTGGATTAAAATAACAATGGATAACAAAAGATAGATTAACATTGTAAACAACATAAACAATAGTGTCCCATGATTCTTTGGTGCAATCCATGGGATTGAGCGGTTCCCCTTTAAGGTAGAAGCCTAGTCATAATTTTTGACAAAATTGGTCATAAATCGCATGACAATGTTCATTAGTTTATTATGTACAATCATGAAGCTAATGTCCCATGGTTAAATGAAATAGCATTATTTTGTGTGTTAAAGTTAAGCTTTTTGAGAAACAGTTTCTAATATTTCTTGAAAATTGCTATTTTTAGAACAATTTCATAGAACACAATGTTAAAGAAAAAATGCATTTTTTTACACTTTTTAAAAACCAGATTTTTTGAATAATTCAGAACAACAAAAAGTATTCCATCATTAACAATATATGATTTATTCAGCCTATGTCACCAGGCTAGATTTTGAGATATTGCGTAATATCTCTGCCATAGGAACCTGTGGTAAGTGTTATAATAGTGTCAAAATGGTGACTTTCCACTAAAATACAACCATTAATTTCTTGAAAAAAAGGCTGGTGACCCCAACTTTTTTTAGGTCAATATCCTTATATTACCTTGGAGTACAGTTTATTGCAAAATGAATTAATTCTGGGTATTTTAATTTATGAGTAGGTTTCTACCTTAAATTTTAATGTACGTTGAAGAATGATGACATCGAAAGGCCGATTTAGTGCCCTGGCTTTTATAGCCATGGGAACAATGCTAAAAATACCTGAAGCGACTTTAATATTTCTGACTTCAACAAGCATCAAGATTGTCTGTCATAATACAAGATTGTAAATAACTTTCATAATAAAAAAGAATAATTTAATTCTTTATTTGCCAGCACTTGCAAGAAGCTCTTGATTTGGAATTGAGTGCTTTGGACTACATGATGAAATGTTTCCCTGAAATAAAAGAAAAAGAAGACATGAGGAAAGTCATTGGTAGATATGGCTTAACAGGAAAACAGCAGGTAAGTAATACCGTACTTCCCAGAGTATAAGCCCAGGGGCCTGAACATGTAAAATCGGAAAAAATAAGGGGTAGGCTTATACTTGAGGACCACTGCAGAAAAAATAATTGTTGGTGCGTTTAAAACTGTAACGATCTTCCCAGCCTCGAAACATTATCCAAATTACATTTTTCGTTCACAGCGCCGGCTTCAGGGGAATATTACCGTTAAAGTCCTAATATAAACCGCATACGTAATAGTAACCGCACCCCCAATTCCGGCTTCGGGGTTAAAGAGTTCTTAACAAAAATTGAAAACTTGAAAAGTACCTATTACTAACCGCACCCCCAATTCAACAAGACCGTGACTGACTTCATTGTTTCAACCAGCTGTTCCAAAACGGCATTGTTCCTAATCCTATTCATTTGTTTC